CTCGCCGTGGCGGGGAGCGCACCTACCTGTGGCGTCGGGCACGGGCGTGCGTGGGGGCAGCCCCGGAGAACACATCGCATTCAAAATGTTCAGCCTGTGCATCGGAAACGTATGAGTTTGTGGAAAGCTTGTTTGAAGTCTTCGTTAGACATAGTATAGATGATGGGGTTGATGAGGGAGTTGAGATATCCAAGCCACGTGAAAAAGTCAAAGATGGCCATGTGGAACCAGCAAGCGTCCTTGCAAATAGGCAACACCAGGCTGATGATGAAAAAGGGCAGCCAACAGACGATGAAGGCTCCTAAAATAATCCCTAAAGTCTTTGTAGCCTTCCGCTCTCTAGCGGCCGTGAGCTTCTTTTTCTCCAGCAGGGCATCCGAGACCTTCACCTTCACCTGGTTCATGTACACGGGGGAGCCCGTTTCGCTGGATCCCTCGGGGGCCTTGGAGTTTATGGACGTGACGGAGGAGGACGACCCCGGCGAGTCTGTGATTAACTGAGCCCGCGTTAGTCTTTTACCTGCTTTCTTTGGCGTCTGCTTCAAAATCCGCGATCTGGCTTCCACGTAGATCCTCCCGTAGAGGGCTATCAGCAGCAGAGTGGGGAAGTAGAAGGCCCCCACCGTGGAGTACACGGTGTAGAGGACGTGGTCCGTGTTCACCACACAGTGAGAGACTTCCTCGGCCTTCGCCTGCCGCCAAAACAAAGGGGGCATGGAGATGCAGATGGAGAAGACCCACACCAGCGCGATCATGCCCGCTGCCCGTTTGGGAGTCCGTTTCGTGGAGTACTCGACGGCGTCGGTGATCGCCCAGTAGCGGTCCAGGGCGATGACACAGAGGTGCAGGATGGACGCCGTGCAACAGGTGATGTCCGAGGACAGCCAGATATCGCAGACGATCTGGCCCAGCGTCCACTTGCCGGTCACAGTGTACATGGTGCTGATGGGCATGACGAGGATGGAGACGAGGAGGTCGGTGACGGCCAGCGAGGCGATCAGATAGTTGGCCGGCGTGTGGAGTTTCCTCGTCTGGTAGACCGTGGCGATGACAAAGGCGTTGGAGAGCACCGTGGCCAGGGTGACGAGCGCCAGGACGACGGCGAGCACGATCTTCCCGGAGAGGGGGGTGGCATCTTGGTAGATCCCTTCCTCGGCGCTGCAGTTTCCGCCGTGGTAAGAGTCGTTGGCGGGGAGCAGCGGCGCCTGGCAGGGGCCGG